GATCTCTCCAGCTTTCTTCCCAGCCTCAGGGCTTGTCAGAGGTCACCTTGACAGTCCTGGTCCCCCGTGGAGACAAACCTAGTAGCTTACTTGGCAGCGGAGGGACTGAGGGAACAAAAAGCCGTTGCTACAGGCTCCTGGGAGCGCTAGGGGGGGAAGTAGAAGTGAGGTGGGGAGACAGAGGGCAGGCTGGACTCTGTGTCCTGGGAGAGCTAGAGAGCATAAGATGGGGGAGGGGGGTGAAGATGAAAGGGAGGTGGAGCCAGAGGCTGAGGAGCAGCACTCCTGTGTCCTGGAATTGAGTCTAGGGAATGGTGTCTTGGAAAGGGTTTGTGGATGGGGGAGAGGACAGATTTGGGTTGGGGAGGTGACAGAATTTAGGGTAGAATGCCTCAGTCCTAAAAACAGAGAAGAATCTGTGGATGAGTGAGAGGAGAGTTTTAGGGGCTGCCATAGCAAAATAAGTGAGTCCTAGAAGAGGAAACAGAGTCTGGAGACATGATACTTGGGTTCCAAAAGGGTTAGGGTTAAGAAGTCAGGAAGACTTCCCTCAGTTAACTGGGGCCTTAGGGATCCCCAGGTTTCCTCACTGTTTATTGGATCTGCTGGAGGCTGGCCTGACCCCTGGTGGTCACTTGTTAGATAGCAGCCGAGGACCACAGCTCCCTAGGGCATCCTGACCTACTGTACCATCTTCTTCATCTAAAAAGTCCCCTGTTCCTCTCTCAGGACCAGGCATTCATATACCATATTTTTAGCTTCTCTCTTGAGACTCACATCCCCTGTAAAGGCTTTGGTTCTGTTTTTGTTGCCATGGAAATATTCTATGCCCCCTCCACCATGGTTAGGCAGCCCTTACTGGGCCTGAATTGTTGCTCACATAGCTGCCTTTACAGCTATTGAGCACCTAGAGGAAGGTCAGAGGAAGCCCCGGGAGAGGGGGAAGCAATGAAGTATCTGAACCTGAGAGAGAATTCCTCTATCTCTGAGGCTTTTCCCAATTCTCTCTCTGCCCCCTTCCCCAACCTTGGGGAAGATATGAGGGCTATTAAACCATTGAGACAGGACAGGGACAGTTTCGTGGTTAGGGCCATAGGATGTCATGGTGAGGAGGGAATCTAGGCATCTTGTCCCCACAGTCTTCAACCCTTTTCCAGGGATCCAGGCAATAGCCCCTCCCAGAACCTACGCAAGGGGTCTGGCTTTCCTCAGCTCCACCCACCTATCTCCTGGCTTTCTGGGATCACTGCCAGGGTGAGCAGGGGACACTGGTATTGTCCAGCATCTGGGAATTCCCACCCCCAGCTGGGTCTAGCCCTGGGAGATGAGCCCCCGCCCACTGTGGAGCTTTGGGGAAGGGAGGGGAGATCCTCGTGTCTCTAAGGAGCCAATAGCAGCTGGACCTACCCCTGGGGGGGAGGTGTATATCTTTCAGTTCATCCCCAAAGGCACCCGTCTCCTCTCTGCTTGCCTGGCACCAGACAGACCTGGATTTGCCTGGGGGGCTCTTAGGCCCCCCAGGCACTCTGCTAGAGCTCTCCCTTTCCCTCCAGAAGATGGCCCATCCAGGAGTCTCTGTTAAGTCTCTGGTATCATCCTATGAGACTCGAGTAGGGAGGTTGGCCCCCCGCCTGCCCCAGAGAAGGGGCTGTGTTTCATCCCCTTGCTCCCCCCGGGGGGCATCCCCCATCCGGGGTGCCCCTGGACCTCCACCCCATCGGGGCCTAGGGGGACCTGGGCATCGACCATCACCTAGAAAGGGGGTGGATAAAACACTTCTCTCTCTGATTCTCTACTGTCACAGGTACCTGGGGACTGGGTAGGGAGTGGGGAGATTGGGATATGGAAGCAAATTCTTGGGGGAATTGGAAGTTAGTATCCTGAATTCTTGGGTTCTGGGAAGGCCAAAAGGTAAAAACTTAAGTCACTGGGGAACTGGAAACCTGAGAGCTGGGGTGCTTGAATGTTGGGAGAGCAATGGAACTTGGATGGAGAAGCCCAGAGTGGTTTTTTGGTCCTAAGAAAGGGCTGCAGGGTGAGGAGTTGGGGGAGAGGAGGACGATGCATGGAACTAAGGAGGTTGTTTAATTCTTACTAAGTGGGAAAGGGACAAATAAGAGAACAGGTAAATGGGGAACAGGGCTTATGTAGCCCTGGAAATTGAACTAAGATTGGTGGAGAAAGCCAATGGCTAAGGGCCTCGACGCCTGGATTCAGGGTGTTTCATTTCCTGTCTCTAACCTCCCCACCTTACAATCTCTGTGGTCTCTCTCTAGTGGCTCTGGAAGCATGGTTGCCATTGACAACAAGATTGAACAAGCCATGGTAAGGGTGTTGATTTTATTCTGATGAATATCATAGTTCATCTATTCCTTAGCTCCTCATCTCCTGCTCCATTTCTTTCCCCCAGCTCTGTGTTCCTGTTCTTAGTTCAGACCCCATTCCCTGTCCCTAGTCCCTGTACCATTGTCCCTGTTTCCAATCCCAGACTGTCTTGTCGTTTATCCTTTCCTTCCTCTCCTGTTCCCGGCTCCCTATTGCTGTCCTTGATCTTAGATTTCTATCACTGCTTCCATTTCCTGGACCTGATACCTGAGTCCTTGCCTTCCCTCCTTTTTCCTGTGTGTCTCCCTACCCTGGACCAGGGAAAGAGAAAACCAATCCTCCCTGCCCCTTACCTCCACCTATATCAAGTTTGGGGGCCACACAAGTACTGATCCCAGTACCACATAGGTCCAGGCCAATGAGAATCGTGGTAGATAAGGAATTGTACACCTGTACCATGGGATAGGCTGGAGTGGAGGGGGTGGAGCAGGTAGTAAGGAACCACAGTCGGCACTTCCACTGCACCACTCATACAAATCCCAACAACACACACACACAAAACGAATATTTCAGTAACTTAGTCTGACTGTCCTTTTGTGTCTTCCTGTAATGTTTCCTTCATCCCCTGTCCCATCCTCCTCCAATCCTTTTAGGACTTGGTGAAGTCTCACCTCATGTTTGCAGTTCGGGAGGAGGTGGAGGTCCTGAAGGAGCAGATCCGAGAACTTGCTGAAAGAAATGCAGCCCTGGAGCAAGAGAATGAATTGCTCCGGGCTCTGGCCAGCCCCGAACAGCTGGCCCAACTTCCGGTCTCTGGGACCCCTCACCCTGGACCCCTTGCCCCAAATGGGCCCTCCTCATGAGCCTCCCTTCCCTCACAATGTGCCTTTAAGGGCTGTCACTGGGATGGAGACCTCGGTGTCCTAGATTCCCAGGCCTTTTTTTGCCTTCTCTTCCTATGCAGCTTTAATATCATGAGAAGTGGTGATAGAGGGTTCGAGGTTGAGTCCAGATTTGTCTTCCCCCTCCCCACCTTCCACCAGACCTAAGGGACTGAGCCAATTTTCCCCAAAGATGAGGGGCTAGGCCAGAATATACCTAGGCCTGGATGGGGTAGGGTTTCAGGGTTGAGGTGCAAGATGGAGCCCATCTCTGAGACTGGGCTCCCAGCCAACCTTTCTCTTGCCATTCCTCTGGGTGGTAAGTGGCCCCCTCCCTCCCCAGTTCTCTAAGTATCTGGGAGCCCCCCTGATTAGGAGGACCCAGAGGGAGCTGGGTACTTCTAGGCAGAGACCACTTCCCTATCTCCCAAAGTCCCTCCATTGGGTTCAGCCAAGAGAGGGGATATAGGCAATGTCCCAAAGTTTCTGGGATTCAGGTTGTTATTAAAATATTATAATAAAAAATCAGAAGAAACTTGGGTGTGGGGGCTGAATTCTCTTTGCCTGGGCCACGGCTATGGGTTTCAGGTATCCAAACATTCCAGAGACTTGTCTCTTCTGTCCACCTCAGTACTGGTCAGGATTAAAATAGAAACCTATGAAGAAAAATGAGGCATAATTCATTAAGTGTCAAATATGAAGAGAAATTGATACACAGAGACAAACAAGATTCAGTCACAGACAAAATCAGAAACGGGTGCTGGGAAGGGCCAGAGGCGGTAGAGAAGGCTTTCCCTGGCTGGAGGAGTGGCTCATTGGGGTGGGCGGGGTAAGGGGGGGAAGGGAAGGAGACTGGAGAGGAGAAAGCCCACGTGCTATGGGGGTGGTGGAAAACAATGAAGCCTTTGGCGATTATGCCATATCCACCCCCCAGCTTCCCAGCGTGTTCCCTGCCGGGTTGGGGCAGCTATGGGGGTGGGGGGGTGAATGGGCCCCTTGTCTTTGTGCTGGGCCCAGGCCAGGCTCCTGGGGCACACAGAGCCTGTGCCAGGCTTGGCAGAGAACCTCAGCTTCTCCCCCTCCCCTCCCCCAATCCCAGCCTTGTTCAGACCCTTTGATCCCTGTTCCTACTAGTTGCCAGCCTTAGCCACTGTCCTAGAACTGTCCCCTTGAGGAATCGCCCCTGGCCTCTGACGCTGTTGAGAGGGGAGATTCTTTCTGTTTAAGAGGAAAGGGGGGGGTGCTTAGGTTTCCAAGGGTTTTTGGAGACAGCCAAGGACCAGAAAGCCAAACAACAGGATCCTGAGGTGGGAGCAGGGATGAGTCAGGGGCGAGAGAGCAGGTGAATCATCTGAGTTCTGGGAGAGAGGTTGGGGGAAGGGGGACAAAAACTTGAGCCCTAGGAGGCTGAGAGCTAGCAGATCTCATTGGTTTGAGCCTAGATTTGAGTCCTGCAGCGATTTCCCCCAGAACTGGGTTTGAGGAATAGGGTAGAGATTGAAAGGGGTACACAGGGGAAAGTAGATTAGGACATGGGGGACACAGAACTAGGAACTAGAGACAAAGATAAGGGCCCATGATCAAGTGTAATGATTGGGAGTAGAGAAAGGAGGGAGATCTAAGGAATGGGATGTCTGGTATTCAGAGGGAATCCAGGACGAAAAGTGAGGAGTTGAAGCTGGAGGCCGGATAGCTTGGTTCCAGGCAGGTTCTCACAATGGGATTAGAACTCCCCCATCTTGTGGGTTCTAAGGCAGCCCTCCCCCCACCTATCCACTCTGACTCCTCTCCCTGGGGGGGGGGAGAGGAAGGGAAGAAGAGGTGGGAAAAGATTATGCTCTGAATTTCCCTGTTCCTTTTCCTATTGGTGTTCCTCTTCACCTTTCTAACTCTTCTGGTCCCATCTAGGGCAGAGGCCACTGGCGCAGTGCCAGTGTCCTTGCCTCACATCAGCTGTTGGCTCTGTTAAGCCCCCTTCTCCTGGGTCCTGGGCTCAAGAGGGTTGGACATGTGTTTTTCCTGGATAAGTCGTCTTTGGGAGAAGTTGAGGTTCCTGGTGAGTTTTGAGCATCCTTTTTTATTGCCTTGAGAGTCTGGATGCTCCCCTCATTCCGTAATTTCAGGGTTTCTCATTTATCCCTCGGCTCCTTGACTATTAAGATCTCTACCCACCTTCCAGGCTTTGAGAAGAGGGAAGCCTTTGGGGACAAGAACATCGGTGGTGTGTTGGGGATAGGGGACCCGAGGAAATGGGCCTAAAGAAGAGGATGTGAAGCTCCCTCTGTGTCTTTCACTTTCTTTGTTCTCCCTCTAATCTGTGCCCCTCTTCTTAGTTCTTCCCCTGGAAAGATATCCCATTTTCTATCCTGATGACCTCTGGCTCCATAGAAAAAGTGTTAAAAGAGATGGGAGAGTCAAACAGGGTGGTAAAGGAGAATGTGAGGGGCCAGTCAAGCATTCTGCTTCAGAAGTCCCAGACAGCTATACATAATGTCACCAGTTTCATGGAATCCTTCCTGCATTTTGCTAGGAAGTTTGGGATGGGAAAGGTCAGTATCCTTGTCTCCATTCCTTGGGGAAGTGTGGTGTATGGGTACTGTTTTTGGTGTTGATGGGGGAATCCTGTCATGTATGATCCTGGGCAAGTCAGTCTGCCTCAGTTTCCACTGTCCAGGAAGATTATGGCAATCCACTTTTCCCCCAACCCAAATAACATTTTTCTCTTTCTAGTTAGAGAATAGAGGGCCTGGAATCAGGAAGAAATGAGTTCAAAGCCAGCCTCAAATAGCTTACCAGCTATGTGATCCTGGGCAAGTCACTCTATTTGCCTGTTTCCTCATCTGCAAAATGGGGATAATAATAGCACCTGCCTCCCAGGGTTGTTTCAAGGATCATTGTACATAGTAAGCACTGTGTAAATGTTAGCTGTTATCATTGGTTGTTTCTTCCCGGACTGTGCCCCATCCTTTCTCCCCTTCTCTTTCTCCCGTACAGACTGGTTCTTCACAGCCTTCTTCACTGGGGCTTCCACAATGCTTGGATTCAAAAGAGGCGGAGATGCTGAGGGATCTGTATGTGGTGCTTTGGACAGTGAGGGAGCGGATCCGGGAGCTAGTCCGACGGCAGGAGAGACGGAAGCGGCGGCATTCCCGAACCCTTGTCTGTACCTCATCACCTCAAAGCTCTAAACTGGATGCCCGCAGTCCCCTTTAGGGGACCTACACCCTCAGGCAGCCCTTCTCCTTCTGCTCTTGTGCGGACCCCCAACTCCGGCCAGGCCCCTGGGTGAAGGATCAGAGCAGCAGGCCGGGGTTGGGGCGTGAGCAGAGTTCTTTGATTTTTTTTTTTTCCTCTGATGAGGACGTCCAGGACGGGGTCTGGAGTGCCGCAGACCCTTTGGGATGAGGGATGGATAGCACTTCACAATGTTTCTTTAGATTAAGTAGAGTCCTGAATTAAGTGAGAGATTTGTTTCTGAAGTCCTAACCAATGCTGTGTGGAAGGGGGTGGGGCAGGAGCGGGGAGGAGCCTGGAGTTGCAACATCGCTGGGGGGTTGGAGGGGGGCAGGGTCAAGACGAGAACCCACGTATAGAAGGGTGAAGGCGGGGGCCAGTCAGAACGCTGTAGGTTGGTTGCACACTCCCCTAAAGCTGCTCCTCTTCTCCCTAAAGGAGGATTGAGGTGGAAGTGGTGATGCGCACAATGGTCCTCGGGTGGGGCAGAAGGGGAGTGTGAGTAACTGAAGAAGAGGGCTTGCTCTAAGGTGGGGAGCTTTCCCTACCCCAGCCTCACTACCTGTTGCTAACAAAGGGTATCTCAAATCCAACTCTAGCGCCTACTGCTGAGATTTCAGTAAACTACAATCCCCAACCCCCTTTACATCGGTGGGGGAGCAAGCGTGGTACCTCTCTCTCTTCCTCCAACCTCTTTTCCTCCCAACTCACTCTTTTTAGTCATTTGCTGCTGGGGTAGGGAGGGAACTTTTCATCAGCTGGTGTTTTGAATCCTCCTGGGAGCTCTAGAAGCCCCACTACATCTCTCTCTCTCTCTCTCTCTCTCTCTCTCTCTCTCTCTCTCTCTCTCTCTCTCTCTCTCTCTGTCTCTCTCTCTCTGTCTCTCTCTCTGTCTCTCTTCCCCTTCCCCTCCCTCTTCCCTGCTCTCTCTGTCTCTGCCTTTCTCTTCTCTGTTTCTGTCTCCATCTCTCTCTCCCCTCCCCTCCCCCGATACTACCAGTATGTGAAGAAGGGTATACTATGAGCCCTACTGGAGTGAGGGACTGAGAAACTGAGTAGGTTTAGTGGGTACCCCCAGGAAGTCTGTGCATGAGGGACCCCAGGAAGTCTGTGCATGAGGGAGAGAAGTTAGCAGGTGACATTCTGGGACCTGGAACTGGCGTGGACACCATAACAGAGAGGAAAAGAGGAAACTAGACTATTTTTGGAGGGGAGGTGACTGTGGTCCATTCCAGAGGAATCAGTGGTGTGCTTACACGTGTATGCATGTGTGTGTGTAGGCTGAGAATCTAGAGAACTTGGAGTTAGTAACTCCACTGAGAATGAAACCTTGAATTAAAATCAGGGGACTTGGGTAAATTCATAAACTGGATACTACTTACACTACCCCCCACCCCAAAAAAGTAAGTCACTACATCACCATTCATGGGGATACTGTAGCTGGGAGGAGCACAGAGGCTATGAATTGGTATTTGCCCATATTCTGGGTTTGGAAGAGGTGGAGAAATAGGAGCAGGTTAGGGACTAAAAAAAGGAGTGGGGCTCTGCTGAGAAGTACTCTAAGATTAATCGGGAAGGGGCCTTGAGAGTGCCTAAATATAAACCCTAAGAGAATGAAGATCTGTCTGGGCTCTGGAAATAGTTCTGTCACTGTTTTCATCTTGACCAGAAGGCAGGGGCTAAGACTTTCTCAGAATTGCAGAATCTGAAAATATGAAGGAGTCTCAGAAGTCATCTAGTCCAACTCGTACACAAAAGGAACTCCCCTCCCTCAAATAACACACTCAGCAAATGATCAGCCTTTTCTTGAAGACCTCCAAGAAGGGGGAACTCACCCCTTCCAGAGGCAGCACATTCCATCTTTGGACAACTCTGATGATTAGGAGGTTTTCCTTGATGTCTAGCCAAAATTTGCCTCTTTTGCAACTTTTACTCGTTACCTATGGTAATGAGTTTGGCCACTCTGGAGCCAAACAGAACAAGTCTAATCTCTCCTCCACCTGAAGGACCACTTGACCTTCAGATACTTGAATACCACTATCATGCTCCTATTCCCTTCCACACACTCCAGTCTTCTCTAGGGTAAACACTCCAGTTCCTCCAACCAATCTTCTTATGACCCTCTTTACCATCCTGGTTCCCTTCCTCTGGACACTCTCCAGTTTATCAATGTCCTTAAACTATGGTACCCAGAAATAAACATAAGACTCCTGATGAGGTCCAACAAGGGCAGATTGCAGTAGAACTATTACCTCTCTATTCTTGGAAGGTGTGTCTCTCAGTTCAGCCCAAGATCATATTAGCAGTTATTTTTTTTTTGACATCACATGGCTGATTCATATTGAGCTTATAGTCCCCTAAATCCTCAACATCTTTTTCAGAAAAACTGCTGTCTCCTCCTCCATCTTGTAATTGTGACATTGATTTTTGTATTCTCAAGTGCAAGCTTTTCAACTGATCCTTATTGAAATTCATCTTACTACCTCCAGCCTGGTGCTCTAGCCTGTCAAGAGCTTTTTGGAGCCTAACTCTGGCATCCAATGTGTTAGCACTATACTACTACTACCACTACTGATAACAACTATAATAACTAATATTTATATAGCGTCTATTTAGCTATAGCTCTTAGCTGTGTGCCATCTACAAATCTGATGCCTATATCTACTATATCTCTGCATGTATCCAAGTCACTGATAAAACTACTAACCAGCCCAGGGCCAAACACAGATTCCCAGGGTGCTCCAGTGGAGATAGCCTGTCACCTTGACATGGAACCGTTAACTATAACTCTTTGAATCTGGCTGTTCTGAATGCATTATTATCTGAATGTATTATCATCTATGAGCTATCTTCTCCATAAGAATAGTAAGAGAAACTTTATCACAAGTTTTACTGTGCCCTAGGTAGACTATACCCACAGCATTCCTCTCCTGTATAAGTTAAATAATTCTGTCCAAAAAGCAAAATCTGGTTTTTTAGTCATGACCTGTGCTTGATGAAACCATGGTTCTTTGTAATCACCACTTCTCTAGTTAAAATAATGATCTGTTCTAGAATTTTCCCAGGAGTAAGAAGTTCACTGGCTTATAGTTTGCAGACTCTGTTTTCCTCTTTCTCTCCCCAAATCAGAAGAGTTGCCCTTCTCCAATTTTGTGGAATTTCTCTTGTTCTCTGTGATCTCTCAGACAGTGCTGACAGTACCTCAGCAATAACATCTTCCTGTTCTTTAAGGTAACAAGGATATAGTTCACCGGGGTAGGTGAACTTGAGTTCATGAAAGGCGATTTAGGTGTTCTCTTAATATCTCCTTATGTATCTCGGGCATCAACTCCCTGTAATCATTTTTGTTCTGTCATTTTCAGTGCAAAGGTCATTCTATTTTTCAGGGAAAGCAAACAAAACAAGAACTGAGCAGATTTCCCTTCTCTCTGTTGTTAGTTATCATCCCATCCACCCCAAGCAAATGTCCTATCCTTTCTTTGATCCCTCCTTTTCTCTAATTACAGCAATAAACAAGTAAAAACCCTCAATCCACTCATTTTGTTTGTTCTTCACTGCCCTGCCACAGAAAGCTCACTGTTGGAATAATTTCATTATCCTTTAAGATCTCATAGGCCTTGGTATCCCACCTCATCACTACCCTCTGCCACTCTGTTTGGAGGGTGGGGCTAGGAACTCTAATAGCTCAGATGTCTCATTTCTCACCTGGTTTCACTACTTTTGAGACTTCTCTGACTGATTTCTTTGCCATGCCCCTATGGTTGGGTACCTTCTCCCTCCCACCTACTTTTCAGCCGCCTCTTGTGTTTTGTCTTCACCCATTAAATTGTAAGTTCCTTGAGGGCAGGGATAGTCTTTCTTATTTCACATTTGTATCTACGGTGCCTGGCACATAGTAGACTCTTAATAAATATTAATTGATTATTGACTGATTCTTAGCTTCCCTTGCCAGTCTCAATTCATTCTCAGCTTTAGCATTTCTGACACTATTTTATAGGACCATTCATTCGCTGTTCACTAGTCTATAGTCTAACCTCCATCTTCTGTACATTTTTTAAAAAATCTAAGTTAGTTGGTGCATCTACGTCAGTCTTTTCAGGCAAGATCTAGACTATGCTCAGGTTTCCTCTCCTTCTTGGTACAAACTTTAAGAGGGAGTGATTACTTTCTCCCAAGTGTCTCATCCTTTCCAGCCCAGCAACCGGTTCCTCCTTGTTTGGGAGAATTAAATTCAAAACAGAATTTCTCCTAGTTGGTTCCTCTCTCTTTTGAATGATGAAATTATTACTAAGGCAAGTCAAGAAAATATTAGGTGCACTGCTTTTGCCAGAGTGAGAACTCTAGCTGACGTCTGGGTTGTTGAAATTTCTGATCGCTCCTGTATCATGCCTCTCCGTACCAGGCTTCTTGACTGTTTACCAAATTCTTCATCCATTTCCTTTTTCTGTCCAGGTGGTCTGTAGTATACTCCAATGACAAAATCATTTCTTATTTCTCTCTATATTGACTTTCACCCTAATATTCTTTGTCATGCATTCCCCTCCAGTCACATGATTTTACTCCATCTCTACTCCACTTTTGCCTAACTGTTCTTTTGAATACTGTATATCCATCCAGAGCCATGGTCCAGGCACGGGTTTCATTCCACAAAATCTCAGTGATACCTATAAGTCTGGATGTGCCACCTTGCATTAAGATCTCTAATTCTAGTTTGTTATCTAAAATGTGGACATTAGTATAGAGACATTTGAAGTCATGAGTTTTCCTACCAACTCTTTTCTTGGATTTTGTTTCTATGGATCCCAGTTAATGTTTTTCTGACTTCATTGTGGCTATAGTCAAATTTTCCTCAATTTCTCTTAAGTTTTGCCAAATTTCTTCTCCCTAAATTCAACCTCTGACTTCACTAATCCAAGTACTTTCAACTCACCCTTCCTTATGATGATGCCGATGATGTTCAAGTTTGCTCTTCTCCAGTTTCTTCTCCCAGAACCTACACAACCTACATAAACCAGAAGAGAACCCTGAGAGCTGTAGAGCATTCCCCATCTATTGCCTTGAGTAGAAGGAAAGTGTAGGCCCTGGTGAAGTCCTGTAGGTATCAAATCTTTGTGGTTGATAGCATATAAAATCTAGATTGTGATAGAAGTGATCAGTTTGTTTTCCTTAACTTTGGACCCATAAATTGCTGTGATCCATCCCCACAGCCATCTATTCCTCTAACACGTC